AAACTTGGATTCATTCTAATATTGTCTCTTTTCATACAATTGTCCAGTTTTAAACAAAATATTGAAAAAATATCTGGTCACACTAAACACTGGGACCATCCATGGAATAAAATGGTATTCATAATGTGATTAATGTAGTACAGTAATATTTATAAATTATAACTAGGAGATTCAGTCTTAACACTGCAAGACCTTGCTTGGAGCAGGGGTGGTTCACTCACTCAATTTATTAAATTATGTTGAAATCTATGTCCATTCATTAATAATGTTACATGATTTGGTTAACCCCCCACCCACTAAAGATTTGTGAACGACCCTTTTTCAAGCAAGGTCATGCAGTGTTAAGACTGAACTGAATCTCCTAGAATTATAAACTATCTTTTCAACAAGTACATTCAGTGGGAGTCGTACTACTTACATCAATAGCAGATAGGTTTACTAATGTTGATACTAATTCGAACAGAGTTGCCATCTGATATATTTGTAAAAATTAAATATTGCAATACGATAATTGTATCACATTATATATCATGTGAAACATGTGTCGGCATCTGTACATCATTTGTGCTGAGGATAACTTGTATCCGTGTCCACCAGTGCCTCCACTCCAGTACCCCTTTTTTTTAATTGCAAATTCTTTTCGTTATAATTAATTTGATGATTTTTAATTTGCACAAAATATATATAATGTTACAGTTTTTATTTAAAAGCATGCTATCAATGATACTTAATATAGTAGAGTAGAGTAAATTAGAGAGAGAGAGAGAGAGAGAGAGAGAGTATGCGAGAGTATATGAGAGAGTAAGCGCGAGAGAAGATCAAATTTAAGTATTTATAATCCATAAATCTAATTTTTAATATACATGAGCATATTTATTTTATATAGAATTAAACCTTTTAATTAAAACTTATTTATATTAATAAATATCACCTGTTTTGTATAATACATTCACAATTATATTATTATTATTAAATTTAAATTTAGTAAAGGCTCATTATTTTGTGTAAGTTATTTACTATATTGTACATAATATACTACATAAATATAATAATTTTTATAGATTAAATTCAATTTCTTTAATTAAAAATAATAAATGTAGTGAATTAAAATGAAAAATTGTTAAAAAATAAATTAAACAGAAAATTTTACTTATTTTACTTTAAAATTAATCATTCCTCATACAATTTTAGTAGAATGCTAATTTCATATAATATTATCATTTATATTTAAAAATCAACAACTATATTTTATTTAATAGTATAGATATCAAGAATTTTATTCATTGCATAATTCAATAAGCTAATTAAACATTTAAAACAATGTGCATTAACATTTAAAATTGAATTAATTTAATTTAATTTAATTCTACATTTATTTAGTATTAAAATATAAAACTCTGAGTGAGTAGTCCATTACACGTCATAAGTGAGTAAATTAATGATTTAAAATGATCCATTAATAGAGTACGTACAGCTGTAGGTACACATCACAGCCCCCTATTAACCCCTACGGTCTAAGCGTACGCTCATCCTTGGGGATCGACTCCAAAAACTTTTCGCCGAGATGTAGGTGCTCGTCGACCAGTCTGGTAGGGGTGTGCGCCAGCCACTGGGCCAGTGACACATCATGAAAGTGAGGGGTGGCGAACACCTCCACAAACACCACATCCGTGTCCCCAATGTTTTCGATATAATGGGGCAAATCCTTCTCGATATAGCCGACGTCCCCCTCCTCGAAGTTCATCGTCCGGGCCTTACCCCCCGCGGCGAACACACCCATCCGGGCCCTGCCCTTCACGAAGTAGTTCCACTCGTCGCCGTTGGGGTGCCAGTGGAGCTCCCGGAGGGCACCCGGTTTCAGGGTCACTATGGCCGAGGACATTGTGGCCACCGGAAAGTTACGTTGGTCGACCACCTTTACCAGTCCACCTGTCCTAGTTACATTTGGTGCCATGCTAGATGCGAAATATGCGTACGGACTTTTGACGTAGCCAGTTCCGTTTGCAGCTTGCTTTTTTTCGTCCTCCAGTGCCCGGGGTAGTTGCGAGGCAAATATGTACATTTCGTCGTGGGTGAGATTGGCGAATGTCGATACGGGTACTTGAAAGTTTTTGGCTAGTATGTCCACGGGTATGTGCTTCATCCAGTCCGTTAGTAGAAAGGTCTCGAACTCGTTGAAGTTACCATCGTCAAATACCAGTAGAAAAAAGCAGCCGTCATCGCCCACACCTTGGTAAAATAAATAAGATATAATTAGTTACTGCTTACTCAAATAATTAATAATGTTTATAAGGTTAGATGGGTGGTTAAATTAGTACAAAAAATTACTGTACACCAAATTATCAGTCAACAATGCTTTCAATATAAATTATACACACTATACAAACTATATGTGGTTTACACAACAAAAGGGAAATTAGATATTTTTATATTTAATTAATGATTACTCATTCAATATTTATAGGGTTGTATGTTTTAAATATTTTAAATTAAATTAAATAAAAATGAAAAATTGTTTAAAAAAATTGTTTTATGGTTTTAAATGTCGCAGAAATATCATCACATTTAAAAATAAATTACCTTGAATGGAGTGGGGTATACCACCGGGGAATAGCCAAATATCATCCTCCTTGACATCCTCCACAAAGGCATTACCCTGAATATCAATAGCGGTTATACGACAGGTGCCCGATAGCATGAACGCCCACTCGGAGCAGGCGTGCCAATGCAACTCCCGCACACCGCCCTTGATCAATTTCATTTGCACCCCGGCCAGTTGCTTGGCTACGGGTAGGTCCCGGACAGTCACCTGTCTAGTCCAACCACCCGTGTAGTTGCCGGTGTGCGCAAATGAGAAAGGGTATTTAAATGGCGGTTGACCACCCGCGTCAGTTTTCGGTGCAAACTGCGATGATGGATTTTGTTTGTCCAGGTTAGAGTTAAATAAGTATGCCGGCTCATCGGCGTATGTGCCATATAGTGAGCATGCTAATATGGTTAATATGACTGAGTAAATCATGATGAGTTTAATAAATTATAGTTTATAAAAATTTTAAATATTATTATAAATTTATAAATGCTAGTTACAAATAATAGTTTTTATATTAATGTGCGCATTTAAGTGTGCGTAACTAATTAAAATGTGTATGTTTTTGGTGTTTATATACTATTTGCTCGAGACAAATATTAAACGGAAAACTTTTAAGTGGCTAATACATAGTCTAGGAAAATGCAGCATTTTGTGTCATGAGCACCTAAGCACTCATAAAATTGTAGCCTGATAGTTTATCAGCTCGTGCATTGTTTATCACTGCAAACGCGCTGCGATGCAATGACACTTGATCATTTCATAGTATTTTGAGTAAGCTGCTTTTTGATTCAAAAGATTCTACATTCAAGTATTTTCTAACTATGCGAAGTCTACTGTATAGTCATAGTAACTAAGGAGCAAAAATATTATACTTTGATCTGTAGTATGCTCGGTTACAACATGTTTGTTATGAACTCAAAATATTGAATTGTACTCGTATACTTCACTGTAAGTATTTTCCGATTATACTGTATTTTACTGTAAATTGATATATCACATAGATGAATTGTTAGATACAGTATAGTATTGCTTACAGTTATGTTTAGAATTGTAATTTTATGAGAATCATGTGTTTGTTCTAGATAAGTTACTAAAATTATCAGATTATTACAATTATCTTTATTTATTTAATATACAGTACAGTGAGTTTAGTAATTTGGAATACAGTTAAATTTGCTAGGTGATAAGTACAAAATTTTATTTAAAAAAACTCCTTTTAAAAATAACAAATAAATAGGATCTTAATAATTTAGTTTCTATGAACTCTCAAAAAATAAACTCAGGCAAACAAAATATCAATTATGATAAATTTAATAGGAAAGGCATGTTTGCATTATATATTTAATAATTAATTCACACTCAAGTATTCCCACTCGAGTGGATGTCTAAACATGGTCTTACTCATACAAGTGTATTAGTTATAACTTATAAGTGTATAGTACATCTAAACTGGCATCAACACAAATACTCAATACAGTCATATGCTTTATAAATAAAATTTACCTTAAAACCTAAGCGTATGACTATTTCGGTTCACAATTTGATATTAAAATACTTTTGATTTTTATATTAATAAGAGCCAATACATGGTGCACCTATAAAACGCACTTTTTCAATGCGTTTTTAGAGTAGACTGTAGCATTATAATTATGGCATAGAAACTTATGAAGTTACAGTTAATTTGTTGACACATGAATTAAAATATATCAAATCCAGTCTCACAAATATTTAATCTTATAAGCAACTTTATAGTGCTTACGACTAATCTATAGTAAGTACTGAAAAGTTGCTTATAAGGTTAAATATTTGTGAGACTGGATTTGATATATTTTAATTCACATAGTATAATTGGATATAAGATTTTACAGTTAGTAGTGCAACTCCCAAATTGATTGACAATTTCTAGCGCAAAATTATCAACCAATGTTTTAAAAACATTTTCAAAGTTTATAATTAAAATAAATAATTTGATCATAATTATATTTTACAATTATTTTGAAGAATTATTTCTTTTTTTGCTAAATATATTTTTGTTAAACTTTAGAAATAGATTAAATTAATTCTGATACTTTTTCTACTATCTAATTACACTGTGATTCACTGTAGTTGCTAAAAATCATTTAATTTTTGTAATTATACATTTATACTTGTGGATGCAATCATAATTTATAAATTTATTTTGTAATATTAATAAAATTAATTTATTAATGGTACTGGTACATCTATAAAACATTTAAAACCTATATTTATTAATAACATAGTAAAACATAATAATATAACATAATACAATAATTTAATAAATATACAGTTCTATCATTTTAAACTTGTGTTTAATATTCATAAGCATAACTAAAACAACTAATTTGATCGGGATCAAAGCAAACCCTACGGTCTAATAATAGCCTTTCCCTTATCGATCGCATTAAGAAAATCCTCGCCGGTGTGTATGTGCTCATCAACCACTCTAGTAGGTGTGTGCCCCAACCACTGGGCCAGCGATATATCCTGAAAGTGGGTGTCGGCGAACACCTCTACAAACACCACATCCGTGTCGCCTATGTTCTCGATATAATGCGGATAATCCTTCGGCACATACCCGACGTCCCCCTCCTGGAAGTTCATTGTCCGGGCCTTACCGCCCGACGCGAACACACCCATCCGAGCCCTGCCCTTCACGAAGTAGTTCCACTCGTCGCCGTTGAGGTGCCAGTGGAGCTCCCGGAGCGCACCCGGTTTCAGGGTAACTATAGCCGAGGCCATTGTGGTGACCGGGAAGTTATCCTTATCAATTAACTTTACGAATCCACCTTGCCTAGTTATGTTCGGGGTCATTTTGGACGAGAAATACGCGTAGGGACTTTGCGAGTAGCCTGTCCCGTTTGCAGCATGCTGCCGTTCGTACTCGAGTTCCCGGGGTAGTTTTGCGGCAAATATGTACTGCTCATCGCGCGGTATATTAGCGAATGTAGATGCTGGTACCTGGAAGTTTTTGGCTAAAATGTCCAAGGGTATGTGCCTCATCCAGTCGGTTAGTAAAAAGGTCTCGTACGCGCTGAAGTTACCATCGTCAAATACTAATAGAAAAAAGCACCCGTCATCGCCAATACCTGGGTTAAGTTAAAATATTATTTATTCAACATGTGACTATCTAGAATTTATTAAAATACATAATTCTTTTTAAAATCACACAGATTACTATTCATTTTGAAACACCTAGGTTAAGGTGAAATATTAGGTTATTGGCACTGCCTTATTAGTCAAACCCGCCAGACTCGACCAGACCCTCACTATAGCTATAACTGACTTGTCAGACCTTGACAATAGCCATATTTGACCCGACAAACCCCCATCATAGCTATATCAGACTCGTCAGGCACTACTATAACTATATTTGAGCATTTAACAATAATGGTGACCTGGCTGGTCAAATAAAGCTATAATGAAAGTCTGGAGGGTCTAGTGAATAAGACAGTGCCGACTACATGGAAAACTATTTTAATACTACAATATTATTAACAATCACTATGTAACCTTAAAATTGGAAATATTTAAGTAAATTATTTTTTATTTTACATTACTAATTAATTTAACATTAGTATGGTACAAATAAAAAATATACAATTTACCCTGAATAGAGTGCGGTATACCACCGGGGAACAGCCATATGTCAAACTCGCCAACATCTTCAACATACGACTGACCTCTTAGGTCAACGACAGTTACACGACAAGTACCGGACAATACGTACCCCCACTCGGCGCACGTATGCCAATGCAACTCCCGGACACCACCCATGGTCAATCTCATTTGCACCCCGGCCATTTGTTTGGCTATAGGCAGAGCACGGACAGTTACCTGTCTGGCCCAACCACCCGAGAAGTTAGACGTATGCGCGAATGAGAAAGGGTATTTAAATGGTGGTTGACCACCGTGATCGGTACTAGGTGCATTTCCGGATGCCGTATTTTGTTGCTCAAGTATGGTGTTTGCTAAATATGGCGGTTCGCTGCCCACTAGATAAAGTGAGCATGATAATATAGTAATTATTGCTGAATATATCATAACAGTTTGATATTATAAATTGTGATTAATAATTTTGTTTAGTTTACTACTATGGCGAATTTATTTAAAAATATTTTTTATTTTACACTTATAAGAAATAAAAAATTGAAATAACTATAAAACATATGGTAGTAAAATATTTCTATAAATAAATTTTAATTTAATTTAATTCTATGAATTAGCAAGCAATTAATTGATATAATTTATTAATAAACTAAAATATTTAATCAAGTATTAAGTGTATTAACAATAATAATTATTATTATTAAAAATAATATTTAATATTATATGGACATAATTGTATTTAAAAAGTAATTGATTTTACAAAAATTATTAAATAAATTACATTATAAATAATAAATTAATAAAAAATTATTAATAAAATTGAATAGCTAATTTTATTAGTTAAAAAGTATTTAATTAGTAAAAGTCATATTTACCTTATGACATTTATTAAAATAATATTCTAATAAATATTTAAATAATTAAATATTTAATTAATAATAATAAATTAAATATAAATATTTAATATAAATATAACTAAATATAATTAAATATAATTAAATATAATAATAATAAATATTTAAAATAATATTTTAATAAATATATCAAATTTTTATGTGAAAAACATTTTTGTTGGAATTTAATGAATATAATAATAATTTAAGTTTAAAATTTTTAAAAATATTTTAGTTTTATTTAACAGTTTTTAAAAATTAAAATTTTAATGAGTTTTGTGTAAAAACTCTTAAAAACCTAAAAGTAATATAGTATTGAATACAATAGCTTTTATAGAAAATAGTATACAGTATTTAAAATAGTGTTTAAGTAAAAGTTAATTAATTTACCAATGTAATATGAAAGTTTACCTTAGTTTCAGATAAACAATAATAAAGTACCAAGAAGAATTAAAACAATATTCAACTTATTTTAATTTTTTAAAATTATCATTAGGATTATTAAAATGTTTACAAAAATGTCGATTTAATATTTGCTTGAACTATTAAGATAAAGCACTATGGACCAACAATATTTTCAAGTAAAAACTTTTATTCTCAATAATATATATTGATCCATTTACCTCATTTAAGCCATAAAATAATACTTCAGCTTGCACATATAAATATTGACGTATATCTTGATGGTTTTCCAAATATCTTGACCAACTTTTATTATGCCATTAATGATATCTTTGAAAAACTTTAATAAGTCCCCAAACATTTTTGCCACATATTTTAGCATTTCCACAAACTTTGACTGCTGATCATTTGACATTTTTGACAAATGATCTAGCCCAGTTTGCTCAATGTCATCAATCTCCTTATTACAGTCTCGGCGCAGTTTTGAGCATGCTAGTTTAAAGGCAGCTTCATTATGCATGGCATTACGCGCACCGTATTTAAGGTTAAAACGGTCTTGAGCTCTTTCAAGTATGCCTGTCACTCTGTACCTTAAATCATCAATGTACCCTGACAAATCAAAACCAGCTGAATCGTTATGCACACGAGAATGTCCAGTCCAATATCGTTTATTGAGCATGCTTATATCTGCCTGTATATCATGGTTAAGCTCATTAGTGAGCGAGCTCAATTCGCGCAGCAAATAGACACTAAATCAGGCAACATAGGTTTGCTCGCTCTAATCGTAATATTGGTAATGATTTTGTTGTTGATTTCATGTTAACTACCTATATCAATTGTTATGTTTATGAAATTCAGTATTATGCTGAATATTGTGAAATGTTTATTAATGTTATATTTTATTATATTATAAATCAAATTAACTTAAATTAATTAATTTAACCGATTTAATTAACAAAAAATAAGGCATTTAAATTTGAAATTATTTATGAATTATTTTTTCATATTTAATTTTAAGTAATTAATATTGCGATAACTTTACAATTTTCAATACAAATATTTATTATAACCTTTTTGAATATTATATATTTATTTTATTATATATTGATAACTAACATTACAATTCTGTGTATTATTTTATAAATATAATAATAAATTTAAAGTTATTATCTATTAAATTATATTAATTATTTTGCAGTTTTTCAAGATGTATGTCATTTTAATAAAATTTAAGTCTGGTAAGAAATAATTACAATAATTTATAAATATATTTAAAGTAAAAGGCGAATGTGTTTTGAAATATTATTGATTATTAGATAAATAATTTTATTTTTTAAATTTTTAAAATAAATAGTACACAAATATATTCATGCTGCAATATTACAATTTTCATTTATTAATTAAAAAAATTACATTACTCGAACTCGGTTTGTTATTTTAAAAATAGTTTTCTTATTTTTACTGGTACACTTAAGTTT